ATTTGAATTGTTTAATAAAGTCTAGTTTGTTTTGCAAGTGTACATGTTGTTCCAATAGATGGAATCTTAAATGTCACACAAAATTTGGTAATTTAATCTACACTAACTGCTGTCTAATGAGGAATTTAAGGTGGTGAAGTCAGTCAGTTGATTTCTGATCGTTCACTTTATCATCATAGCTAGCCATCGTGTAAACACCTTTATCTGAAATCCCAATGTGTTTCAATCTGCAAACTGAATGAGTAGCACCAATGATAAATGAACTAAATATATCCAGTAGAGTAAATAATGACATACTATTTCTGCTCAAGTGGTGACTAAGGTCTACAGAGAATTTTGTCGCTGATTACACTTATTTACTACAGTAAAATATCCAGAGCAGTGTGTGCTATGGTTAGTTGGAAATGGCTAATGAAATACGGAGTATTTCTACACTAATTGAACATACAAGATTATAAATTAACTTGGATTCTCACTTAAATGAGTGTTTGCGTAGTTACACCTACATCACTGTGCTTTCAGCGTCTTCAGGTAATACCAAGCGGACCTGTAAAGTGAGTGGATCCCAATCACTGGACCACCTTCCTCCTGCTATTAAGCTCAGGAAACCGTGAGATTATTCTGTAGGGTAATCATGTTAGTCTTGTCAATGTCCATAGGTCCTAATCTCAGTCCATTTCTATGTGAAAACAATTTAGAGCACGGATCATAACACTTTCCTCTATGATCGCACAATATTTTAGTAAGTCGCTAATTATTGTGAAAACAGAGTTTTTATATGAATCACTAGATAAAATGTTAAGTCTAAAAGGAATGTGACTGCTGAACGGAATCTGAAATTTTAGTTGGTTAGTTTCAAGGCATTCATGACATTCTTAGCTATCACTCTTCACACTACAGTGAAAAGAGATTGACACATTTCTGTTACGTATCTTGAAACGTTCTCAGGATTTTCGGAAACTGACGCTTCAATCTCCAATTTTCTATCGATTCATAGTAAACTAACTAATCGCTTTACCGAGAAATCTGATTTTCTTACGTTCATATTATTTCGTTTGACTTAAAGACAATGCATTTCATTTATTGATAATAATGGGTAGCATTTTTAGCAACACATTTTGTGAAAACTAACTGACATTTCGACTTGTCTTTTACCTCTTTACAAATAATAGGATCATACACCACCTGCCTGACATAAAAAGTACACAAGAATATTTGGAAAGAGTATTATACAGAAATCTTGCTCAAAGTCGAATGTTTTGTTCACGTGGACCTACTAACGAAGATGTTAATGCCAGTGCAAATAAAGATCGGAGGTGTTATCAATTGATTTTCTGGTTAACTGAGTTTTGGAGGAAATTAAATGAAATCCTGTGTTCTATAGCTAACAGAAAACACTGTGCCATTTTTGGCGTGCAGTCCACACTGAAATGCCCCATGGATATTAATGCTTCATTGCATTGGTTTCTTGACCTATGGAACAACATGTTGGTTCCAGTTTTATTTGAAAATATCAGATATGTAACAAAAGAGAAGTCAAACAATGCCTACAACATGTTACTCACTGATTTTATTGCATAGACAAGTACTACATGGCCATGGGATAGAAGCAAAATATACTTCCCTACTTCTTTGAAAAGCCCAAAAATAAGTTTAACCCAGAACCCATCGAGTACTCAGAGCATCCAACCTATGCAGACTCCCTCTAGTTCCCTGGATGCGGAAGTATGCAAAAATCGAACAAGCATGGATTCGGGAATTATTCTGGATGGGATGTACCCAACAAATGCCTGTAGCAGTAATGATGTGGAACAAATTCCATCAAATACAAACGATTACATACATGTGATCAGAACGCTATGCAGATTAGAATTAGAGTAGTTCATACAATATAACGATTTTGGACACTCAAAAATATCACCTTTTCTTTATGACCGTTCTTTTGTAAGTGTGACAATGAAATTTATTGCTTAAAACAACACATTGTGATTACCAGTGTATAATACGAGGCGACAAGTTTCTTTTTTACAGAAATAAACGTTCAAGAATACCGAAAGTGCTCACTTCAGTCATTTTAACAAATTGATATGCCAGGAAAATACATGTTTAATTCGCATTGTGTGACTTATTTCGAAATGAGTTAAAGAATAAGGGCAAACTGAGGGGTAATTAATAAACCTCTTATTCTAGCTAACGATTTCTAGACACTGTATTCCGTCACCTATACAGTAGCACCGCCTAAAGAGATTACACTAAAACAGTTATCAGTTACCTGTCAAATGTCACTGTCATAACATAAAGAATATTCGAAGGATGTGCAACATTGAAGAGGGTCTTCTCAAGGTGCCTACGTAAATTACGAAACTCTTCAAGGGGAATCGAACTAACATGACTAGTAAGCAATTAAAACTACGTAACAATGTGGAAATTTTGTAGACATAACATGACAAAATTTATGCTGGACTAAACGAATAAAGAATGACAAATTAGGTGATACCAGAAGTTGTTTAAAATGAAAACAATAAAGCTAACAGAGCTAACAAGGCTGATGAAACATGGATATACAGATTAAATAAACAAAAAGAAGAGCAAATAGGCTCAATGTAAAATGAAGGCTATAATAGGTTAAGCATGAACTAAGACTTCTCCATTTCAACAGTAAAGCAGCCTCAGCAATACACATGAGACAGATATGTGATGATTTTGGCAGGTTATCATTCACCTTATAGATGACTTTAAAGGAAGAGATTATGCAGGTAAGATGACCAGTGTCACCCAGATGTTTAATTACTGCGCTTCTTGTGGCGCAACTTCCACCTGTTCATAACCATGCAAGATAGTGTTTCTGCACCCTTTTGAATAAATGCGTGTTGAACTACATACATAGTTAGCTGCATAGGAGTAGGTCAACTGGCAGGCACCCACTGAGTTGGCCAACTACAAGATCATGCTCTTCAGGTTATTGAACTTTAGTGGTCGACGAGAAAATACTATCCTTAATAATGCCTCAAGGAATCTCGTTTATAGTGACAATGAGATCCTTCTTTTGGGGGATGTCTATGGTTAGGTTCCATTCAAATTCAAGATTCACATATAACTCTATCTACGATACAGACGTCAAAAACATACTTCATAAGCTTTAACTGTATTTTTTCCTATGTGACACGTGATGTATATCTAGATTCGGCTGTGTCTTTTGTTAGCAGGCTTAACTCCACAACATCAGGATTACACATGCTTTGCTGTGTGCGATTGAAGAATGATCGAATCAGGTGTGGTTTCCGATAACTGAGGATCGAGCTGTAGAAATTAGTCCGCTAACTACTCAGTGAAAAGGTTTCTTCACCGAATTCCTTCTTTGCATTTTCTACATGTCAGGATGTGAATTTTCCATGAGGATTCGAAAAGCTGAAACCTGTCACGTTCTGTATACTCAGGGATTTTACTAATAACGGTGCTCAATAATTATGCTTACCACTATTTTTCAGCCCTACTTCGAATTACCAGTTTACAAGATTCTGAATTATTACTGTACTCTCCTGAGACTTTTGGAGCTTGGTGTGGTGCAAATGATTTAGTTCTGTAAAGAGAATATTGGTGGTTGAAATTCGACAACAGTGAATCACATATTAAGTATCTTAACAAACAAACTTCAGTGGATTGAATATTTGTATCTTCAGGAAGCGTAAACTTAGCATCACCATCAGGTGTGAGACCGTCAGCTAACTTAGTCTGACAGGAGCTAGAGTTCTGGTTTTAAACTCAAAGATTCTGTCATGCCTCTAGTTGCTTTTCAAATCGCACGAGACCAATCTAAAAGGGAGATATCATATGTTTATAATTAAAAACTCAAGATCTCGGAAAACTGATGGATTTATGTATTCATTTTGTAAGGTATCATACCGTTAAGCAAATTCAATTGATGCTTAGTCTGAAGGGCAATAATAGTAACAGAATTCGAAATGCACGGTGTAATTGCACTTCATCGATTTCTCAGCTGAGAAAAACATGATAAGAGCTAGTGATCAGGAAATTTAAACAAAATAGCACACTTCACAATTTCAAAAGTTCTCCAGTCACCATGATAGTTCGAAACACGAAATTAGTATGTAACACGTTTGAACATTTATAAGATGGTTTTTGGTATATTTCTATGACTACGGCAGAAAACTTAATCGGCTACACTGCAAATATTACAAAAGTAATCATGTATAATACCATGGTGACTTACAAAAAATTTACGAAACCAATAGAGTTTAGTAATGAGGAAGTCACACTCAAGTGCTGGGGTTGTAATGACGAATACGTTTGAACTCAGATGATGCTCAGATTTGAAAGTCTGAATAATGACCCGGCCAATGCATCACAACATCAAGTGACGAAACTTAAAAGACCCCTGTAAGTTATTTTCTTTGGTAGAAGGTTACCTGAAATTAAGAGGTGCCTGTCTCGCCTTTATGTAAAGTCAGGCAAAAGAGTTAAATTTGTTCTCAAGTCGAAAACTGGGATGAATTAGAAAGTAGTTTGTCACTGATCTCTTGACAGTCACTTAAGTATCTTTTAAAAATTGATGTTCTTATGTCTATTTTCCATGTATGGCATTGGAGGAAATGGTCGGGCATGCATTGAGGAGGCCGTCGAATGACATCACGCGCAGTGCAGGCTATCAGTCGAGTGGAATCCGAATGGTGAGTGACGAGTGGGTCGTCCTAGAGTGACATGGAGGAGGTCGTGTGAGGAGTTGAGGGGATACTGGCAATCGTATACCCAACTGAAAAGGACGATAGAATATGGAAGAAATTGAGGATGTGTTGTTGAAGCCATGTGTTCCACTCGGAACTCAAGGGAATAATAACTGATATCAGTCCGTGATCAACTCGTAAAACATAACTATTCCTTACAAATCAAACTATAGAAAATATTAAATAATGATAAATTTTGATAACTTTTATCTTAGAAAATACTGAAAATAGACCAGCAAATTATGAGTAAATTTTATATTAGAAATCGTCGTCCTCATTCTCTTCTGGCTGAATAGTGTTCTTCAAATAAGTTTGCTTGCCTGTAGCTGTTTGATCACCTGTACGGTCTTTCATCATACTATTACGCTCATAACCACATTCATTACTGTTGATAAAGTGTTGATTTTCTTCATCTCCCAAATTTGTAACTGGACTATTCTCCTATTGGTGTAAATCAATAAAAATTAGTATCACTAATTATTATTATTATTACTATTGTTGTTATTAATGTTCATTAATTAAGACACAAATCATGTTTTCAAAAATAATTTAACACCATATCTGTTTTTGGGAATTACTCATGATTAAGTAAAGTGAGGATACTACACTTCGACTAAAACAGTTTGCGCACAATCTATGCTTTCTTATATGACTGAAAAAATTCATTAGATGAAATAAAACTAACAACATTTTTCTTAATCACACAGAAAATGACAAGTATTCATCACTTGTCCGTATATTGTAACACTTATAATTATCACTAAGAATACATAGGGATATGATGAACTCACCAATAATATGTGAATACCCTTTTTAGTTGAGTTAGCTGGCTACTTTAAAACAAACCCAAATGTTTTCTAAAGTTTGGTTTGTAAGGGTTTGTAATGTTTTTACGAGTTGATCACGGATTGATATCAGTTAGAGAACCATTGAAAACCAGGGAGTACTGGACAGCTGCTGTTTCATCCTAGTTTGGGAGTCATCGGCAGTACGCACCCAATGGGATTCGAACCCAGGACCTTCCGGTTACAAGGCAAGCTCGTATACCATTCAGCCACTGAGGAACCGACTCAATGGCTCATGAATTGGTAGAAGTTAGAATTCACTAGGATGAAACAGCAGCTGTCCAGAACTCTCTGGTTTTCAATGGTTCTCTAACTGATATCGATTCGTGATCAACTCGTAAAAACCCAAATGTATTTCACTCCACTTCAAATCAACAGTTAAAAAATAGACATTAAAATTAACCATGATCTTAAATTTATGGAGCTGCCATTTCCCATGGTCCACTAGTGTTGCAAATTCGTACTCAGCAAGTTATCTGACAGGTGTGTTGTTAGACAGAAGAGAACTGGTCTGAGATAGAAGGGCAACAAACAAGGTAACTAGTATTTGGAAAATGTGAACAGTTCAGCAATTTATCAAACCAGATTGATTGATCAGTCAGCATACTTCTAATGCTGATTGGTTTCGTCAATGAACCGGAGGTCTGTGAAGCGGCTTAACATTGGTTTTAAAGAGGTCTCTAGTAAACTGGACGATTGCTTGCTGTATGTTCAGTGAGATCAGTCCATATATATATATATATATTTATATATATATATATGGACTGATATATATATATATATATATACAGAAATATTGGAAGTGGTTAAACTTACGTCTGTGATTAAGTGTGATTGTGAAAGTTATTTCATTATTTCTGCTCGTTTTCACAGATACCTTTTGCATGAAACATGCACCTAGTATTACGTGACTAGCAACTGTTGTTTGCCAATGAATAAGAAATAACTACTTCACTAACCCACTCTTTGTGGTGCACTGGTCAATAGTGAAAGCCCTGACACAAATAAGAAACACTCAACCGCTCTTCACTTCTACAAGCATGAAATTCATTTGACTGCTGAAGTAAACGGTTTCAATGCACAGTTCAACGATCAATATTATTTATAGAAGTGAATATATAAGATCAATAATGAAGTCACCAAAGCTATCTGTAATTTGAAACGAGGCAAAGCGGCAGGACCCGACGGAATTATTCCGGAGGTGTTTAAATATGGGGGTGACATACTAGTGTATAGTTTAACTAAGGTACTAGGTAACGTCTGGGAATCAGAGACGATTCCATCAGATTGGGGTAAGTCACTTATTATGCCAATATTCAAGAAGGGAGACAAGTCCTCATGTGATAATCATAGAGGAATCAGCCTAACGAACATAGTCTCTAAAATCCTAGGCTCAGTAATCATGAACAGACTAAGCCGAACTCGGGAGGAACAAACGAGGGAAAATGAAGCGGGCTTTAGGCCAGGTAGAGGGTGCATAGATCATATCTTCACTCTCCGACAGATCCTAGAACATAGACACACTTTTAGGCGTCCAACAATTGCCATATTTCTTGACTTGAAGGCGGCCTTCGACTCCGTGGATCGAGAGGTACTATGGCAATGTTTGACTATGAAGGGAGTGCCAAGAAAGTACATTGCACTAATCAAGGCACTCTACTCAAACTCACGTAGCCGTGTAAGGGCTTATGGGAAATTTTCATCCGAATTGATAATAACCAGTGGTGTCCGTCAAGGATGTCTACTTTCCCCTTTTCTGTTTAACTTCATCATAGATATGCCAATGGAAGTATCCTTAACTGAACTTAACGACTTAGGAATCGACTTGTTACCAGGGAATAGTCTTATGGACTTAGAATATGCAGATGACATAGTCCTGTTAGGGGAGGATGCTGACAAAATGCAGAGTCTTCTGAACACCTTGAGCAGCAATCTTCTTATGTTTGGCATACGATTCGCCCCTGTGAAATGTAAGATGCTGCTACAGGACTGGACTTTGTCAACTCCTAGCTTAGTGATAGGGAGTGAAGTGATAGAACGTGTTGACCACTTCAGCTATTTGGGAAGTTGTATCAGCACTAACGGATTGATTGGTGACGAAATCTCAGCACGGATCCAAAAAGCTCGAGCTGCTTTCGCTAACTTACACCATCTCTGGCGTAGGCGTGACATCCGGCTATCAACCAAGGGACGTGTGTACTGCTCAGCAGTTCGCTCCGTCCTTCTCTATGGCGGTGAGACGTGGCCATTGAGAGTGGAAGACATGAAAAGGTTGACTGTTTTTGACCACAGATGTTTACGATCTCTTTCTCACGTTAGGTGGTATAATAAAGTAAGTAATGTTGACGTTAGGCGTTGAGTGTTGGGCAAAGAGGGAAAACCAATCGAAGAGGCTATAAAGTTACATAGATTGAGATGGCTAGATCACGTGATGCGCGTGCCTAACCATCGCCTCCCCCGACGGGCATTACTAGCTGATATAGGTGCAGGTTGGGAAAGAGTAAGTGGTGGCCAAACAAAAACATGGCATCAATCCATGAGATCCCTGACAGTTAAACTGAGTCAGCTAGGGAGATGCAGACTTCCGGGTTGGGGCCCTCGGGACTCTAAGAATCAATGGCTGGAGACAATAAGTGACATGGCTCAAAATCGTCGTCAATGGCTTACGTAGATGTATTCAGTCTCTGTAATCTTTCATATTCCTTTCTACTATTGCCCATTCTGTTTCACTCCTATACTTGTCTAAATTCTACTGATTCTCTTCACTCGTTTTCTTGTTTACCTTTGTGTGCTATTTGGAACGTGGCAACTCGAACTGCTGCACTTCGGTGCCAAGTTCTATGTTGAATCCAGTAGCAGCAGCAGTATTGTCTCTCATTGTTCTCTTCAGTCATGACACAGAGTTTAGGAATTACGTCTAGGGTGTACTTTTCGAATAGAACAGAGGATGAGAAGTCTACACGGAATAACGTAAAACAGATTACACTGCCTAAAATGTATTTACGCTTTCTCTCCATATGGACGCCAAAATTCTATAACACATCACTTTTCGCAAAGTTTCCATTCCCTTCTATAACATTACCCATCTACTGAAGTCATCGTTTTCATTTCTCGGTTTTCAACATTTGTTGACTTCCATTGTAAAGTGTGGCAAATTTAAATGACACGTAATTACACCAGATTTAATTTCATTTTTGTCGGTATATCTAAGTTTCCTTATAAGAATAATAAATGTACACTTATGCTGTCAGTTGAATATTACTATGATTTGACTGCTGAGCAGAGAATATGCTGATACATTCATAAATGAATTTTATGATTATTCGTGTTAGTGTTATTATTATTATTATTGCTTACGCTTACTAAATGGTTAGAAATACAAAATTTTATCACACTTCTGTGTACATATATAAACAATCACTTCACGACTATTTTTAGTTTTGATGTTTTTGTTTGTTTGTTTTTCCACCTCGAGACACTGCTCACTTTTTCATACTCGTTCCCATCGAAAACAAACATCCTGCCTGTCGCTGACGTGAAGTCGAAAAATGAATTCATTTTGTAAGTGTCATTATGGTTGAAATTGAATATGACAGCATTTGGGGAACAAAAATTGAGTCAATTACAGAATGGATAATGAATAGTAACTATCTGAAAGTTTCTCACAGCTAGACATTTGTTAAGCATTGATATGAACCCAGGAAAATGAAATAAGCAATATACGTTTTTGTTAACTTGTTTAACATCGTGCATGGCATTTTTTGAATTAGTAAGGATTTAAGTAATTTAAGACAAAATACCTTTTTTATGTATATCTGAACTAATTAGCTGGAGGAAACTAATGTTTCTTAATTTACGGTAGTTTTCTTGAGGCATGTGTAAACTGGCTGGGCTAAGAGGCTTGTATTATTTCAGACAAACTGGAATTCTACACAGTGTTTCTTTCCATTTTTTCTACTAAAAATATTTCAGCACCAGGATGAAATGCGCATCCTGGATTCCACTGCTAGTCATCATCCACCAATTAACCTCCAATTACACGACCAGACATCGTCGAAGCATCTGCACAAGAAGCCGACATGTCAACCTGAGACCGAACACTTCTGTCCAATCAATCGTCGAGAAAATCTAAAATTCAATTAAACCAAGAATACTTAGTCTAGCTACACTTATTATTAACTTTTAGCATAAGATATTAAGCATTGCTACCATAAAATTTAGTCTTCTTGATACTGATCCTAATGCACATGACTGTAACCACACGTGGGCTTCGAAAGCTGACAATCCGGAAAACACGTGATACTTCTCTGCTATTTTTGTCTAAAAACTGATTATAAACTGATAAACTAACTTTTTTTTAAGAAATAATCTCATCAACTTGTAAACTTACTTTTTGAGATCTTTTTGTTGAATGATAACCAGCTCTGTTTGGACGACACCCATTTGTATCTTCATTGTTGTAGGAACCCTGAGTTCTTCCGTGATAGTTGGCTCCTGAAACACGCTGACCACTACTAGGTGACCAGCCAGGTGCAAGCTGATTTCTTACTGTCCCTGGTTTTGGAATACCTATTTCACCTTTATTTCGAAATGGATCACCATTTACAACTAGGTCGTCATCATTTTCATCCCCATCATCTTGGCCATTAGTGAAGTCATTTTCTTCTTCATCTTCCTCTTCCACATCATCATCATCATCATCGTCATCTCCCACATCGTCGTCATCGTCATCGTCATCATCAGCTAAGTCATAATCAAAATTATTTGCACCAGAAGCAGGTTTTAGATTTAGCGTATCAATTTTAAGTGTTCTATCACCTCCAGAACTTAAGATAGTCTTCTGGTTTCCTCCATCTCTAAGCTAGTTATTTTTTAAAAATAAAAAAGCAACAGTAAGGTGATTAGTTCTTTGTTTAGTGCCTTATACTTGCTTTATACACCGATAAGTATCTTCAGTTAGAGGTCTAAACAGTTTTTTTTTGACTTCATAAAATGTTCCAATGTCGTTGAAAAGAACATGTTCTAAAATGGTTATAAAACATATAGAAAATCCCGATGCAATTAATCTGAATAGAAATCCACCATCATCCATTGCAAAGCACCTATTTATGTCAGGTCACAAAATCAATATTAATGACTGCTTCACAATTATTTCACATAACTCTAATTCAAGGTTATTGAAGGTGATGGAAGCATTTTGAATTAATCACAAACATCCTGAACTATGTGTACAAAAAACAACAGACTTCAGCCTTCGCCTACCATGGACTATATGACCTATTTAAATAAGATTGGTCATTAGTATATACTTTTGTTTTTTATTCAACTGAGTAATTGTCATGATCTTTATTTTATTATTGTTAACCATGTTAGTTGTAAAGCGGTTGTAAAGAAACTGCGAAATGATATCATCTCGCGAAATTTGTCTTCTAAATGCCTTATTCAAATAACTAATTTTTAAAAACTTGAGCCACAGGATGAATATGATCATCTTAAAGTGCTTAGCTAGATGTTTATCTATAACAGCACCACTTGTTATTGATGCCTGTAAGACAAACAAAAGTCAGACTAAACTGCCTAGTGGTCGCTGGTGTCATATCATATCTCACATTACAATAAACTGGCTGCATTACAAAAGACATAAAAACTAAAATAATAAGCATTCCAAAGTCAAAGTTGGACAGTGAGAGAGGACAAAGCTTTTATGAAATAGGATGTCATAACATCATAAATAATCCAAGTACCATAGAAACTGAGTGAAACGATACCTGAAAATTTCTCCATAGCAATTCATTTAAGTAGTATATGCCTGTTTAAACACGTACTCCCTAAATATGCGTAGCTTCTAATGAATCACTGTTGTGTACCTGAAATGAAGCATTCATGTGAAATGTACCGTTTATTTTCAGGTAAATTCCTAATTCCACCCTAAGCTATATGGTTGTTTAGATGAAAGATAAACAGAAGGTATTAGTAAGATTCAGGTAAAAAGATATAAAGATTTCATAAAAAAGAAAGTAAACTGAGCGGAATAACCGAACAATTTTGTTTAGACAAATAGATTCTGGAGAGAAAATACAGTTTGTAATTACCCTTGAGTTTTGAAAAACAGATTTCTAACCTTACCTACCGAAGACATTTTCATTTGATCAGCAATATTTTTAAGCGTGATCTCATTGTCTTCATTGATTTGACCAACATTGTTTAAAAAGTATTCGTACTGATTCTCCAAAAATGCAAGATTACGAAATCTCGTCAAGTATATTGCATAAAGTGAAGACAATTCCTCTTCTAGCTGTTCATATTCTTCCATATATGCAGGTCGTACAGACTGTAGAGTCGCTAAACGCTTACGATTGCGCTCCAGTTCACCGCGTTTCTTTTCAATCTTTAAATCTAAGTTAGCTTCATCAGCAGCAATATTGATAAGTGAAGACTGGGTTTTTTCAGTTTGACTTTTTATAGAATTTTTCGCTGCTGTTAATGATTTTTCAACGTATTCACTATCTAACTGACGTCGTAAAGATGCATCACGTAGCTCCTTGAGATCTTTTTCTTTGTTAAGTAATGAATGAAGCGAAGCCCCACAAGACGCAAGCTGGCTGCATAGACTTCTGGCTTCCTGAAGCTGTTTAATCTGCAGCAGAGGTATAAATTGGAAAAACAGGAGTTACAAATAACATCCGATTAGTATGTGTTTCAGCAACAACAAAAAATTCCATGAATGCTCTTTTATTAAATATCTAAAAAATAATCAGTTTACAGTTGATCAGTTCATAGACGTATTCATAGACACTTCTACATAACCTCTTGTGATCAATCTCACCTACTCTTCCATTGAAAATAAGAATTTGAATGATTATATTTAATGAAGAGTACAACAAAATGTTTGTGTGCTTTTTTCGAAGAAATACTTTCATTCATTGGAATAACAGTAATCAGCCTTATGTGGGCCCGAATGTAAATACAAGCGAAGAACATAACATTTTTTTGCTAACTTCTGGGCTTTCCTACTTCCTGCAAGTGTGAATAAACAGACTTTCTGCACTCAATAGAGAATATAAATATAAACTGTCTCATTACATTTAGAAGTACAGCTTTATTGAAATCCTTTTGGTAAATCCTTTCAACTTGCAAGTCAGTCATTGAATTCAAAGTTCATTTACACTCTTAAGCACAATACACCACAGACGTCATTAGGGTCTATAGGTCCGCAAATCAGGAGTAATATAACATATACTTTATCATCTACCTAAAATAAGTTTTGTTCTGAATACAGATTTCCTATGTCTTAAATCCTCCTTTGAATAATTTTATTTTACAAATGTGATATCTAACATACAGAAATTGTCTTCCATTTCATCAGTGTTTCTCTTCTAAGAAAAATTATTACATGTGTTTTGGCGGCAGTCAGATAAAATGCTACCAACAATTAAGTAGTCTGTCAACCTCGACCATCAATCATTTATGCACTTTACAACTGTTTACCGTTCAGTGCGGTTAAAAAAGTCTGTGTTGTAGACACAATAACATTATACCAAACTATTAAACCACTTAAACTCTGTGTTTCCTGGAGTTGAAATGGAGCTTGACTGTCAAAAATATTTGTCAGAAATGTGATGGATCTTTATCATCATAACTGAGTAGATGATTTTTGTTGTAGGTGCGGCATATTGGTTCAAACGTTAAAAAGAAACAATGATTTCTGCAGAAACACTTTATAAAACCAAATGAATTGAAAATTCATTCACGTAATCTAGAGTGATGGGATCAGGCATTATTCAAACACGTCAGGAAAGGCGTATGCCTATTGTTACGCATTTGAATAGCTCAATAACATGTCAAATACCCCAAGACCATACTTTATTCAAAGTTCACATTTTCTCCAGGGACCCATATTATTCATTTAGAAATGAACAGGAAAAGGGATAAAAAAGGAGTGAAAAAATATCTGAAAATGGTCAGCAGGCAACAAGAGCTTGCTATTACTTTACATTGTTTTATATGTAAGGTCGTTGAAGGTATTCAGAACTTAATAAATATATAACTGTACAGTTAGTGACCACATATCTTAAAGGTAAGTGTGGACTGAACTTACCTTAAGTGCCTATTACATAATCGAAACCAGAAATTGAACTTCTATGAGAGATACCCGAACAACTGCCATGTATTACGGTTTATTCATCTGTAACTTTTAAATACAAGCCTTTAGATGGTAGAAACTAATCAACCAGCTATATCTGTAACCATGATTAAACTCTAGGATTATAATTCGCACAGCCCATCTCTGAAATTAGAAATTACTGGACAAAATACAACTACATCACTTCACAGTGCACTTAGTCTGACTGACGCAACTTAGAGGATACTTAAACTATATCAACCCCTTTATTGGGATTAGTCCAACATGTTAGATAAAGTTATAAATATATTGAAATCAACCAATAAACGATTTCCAGAGGTCATAATGGTGAGTAAAATTCCAACAAAATTTTTCTTGGAAATCAAAGGAATCCTGTTTTATTTTATTTTATTTTTCCTTCACGTTCCCAGTGGGATACAGGGCTTCAAGCTAGTGGCTTGAAGTTTGTGTAGCAGTGTTTATTTTACAGGATGGGGTTGCTAGCCTCATGCCCAACCTTCCCTCTTCACCAGCATTATTTCTGGCTTAGCGATATAAAGGAGTGCGTCGGCCGGGGATCGAACCCCGGACCATGTGCATGGTCGGCGAGAGACATAACCGCTATGCCACCGACGCTAAAAGGAATCCCGTCAATGTCCCTAATCACATCCTTAAGTCAAAGAGGAATGGCAAGGTAAAATTCTCCGTGGACACTACTATTTGTCACCCCTCCTTCTAATCACTTTCTGTGAAGAAAATGTGCCAAATTAATACATTCATCAGCCCTGTTTCAACCACCATGCGATACTACAACACCTGAAGAAGAAAATGATATCTAAAAATGTGGTATATACCACATTTTGGTTAGCAGACTTTTATTGCGAAGTGATTTAAAAGATGGCGAAAACAAAACATCAGCATCTCAATGTAGAGCCTCTCCAGTCATCGCGAGTTAATAAAGACTCATCAAAAGTGTATCCAACCGCATTTAGGCTATTCTTATAACGTGTGACAAAATGATATATTCATGCTGACTCAGTTTAACTGGAGTTATTTAAAGCCTTCCGAAGTACAGACAGTAAAGACTGTCATTCTGATTTGCTATTTTGAGTAATGATCTCTCAAGTTTTTGCACATCATATTACTTTAAATGCTCACTTAGCATCCTCGGACGACCAAAATAATTTTAGATTTATCTGAGTATTTAGCTGAATTAACTAATCTTCAGTGATTGAGTAACTGACGAATCAGCATAAATCCCTACACTGAAGTGGACCATCTCAAGTTACCAGAAATCAAAACAGCACGCGCATAGTAAGAGAAGGATGAGGTAGTGATCCCATGATGTGGGTAGAAGAAGAATATTTTGTTGCGAAACTATGAAAGCATCGAGAATTTAGATGATAAGCGGCTAATGTATTGCCTTCACGGCAAACCATTGTATACATGACCACCGAAAAGATATGGACGGCTTTTATGCAAGTTGAAGATGAAGACTGAAGCTCCCCGCCAGCGCAAAGCCTAAACAGAAATTAATTCGTACTCACTTTCGCATGAGTGATATGATGAATGCAGAAACAAGCAGCTGTGAAATCCCTACTTGCTGAGATTTCCACGGAAGCATACGACTTTAATTGAAGACGAGTCAACTTAGTATCTTCCATAGTATTATAGTATGTAAATCTAGCACCATACACCGACTTCAAAAATCAGGTTTCGTACGATTATCCGGACCGTGCAGATAAAGAATATCTTTGATCCATTCCTTGATTAGTGCTTTTTTACATTCACGTTACAAATAGTAAATTCCATCTTCCGAAATATGTTTACCATAAAAAGTTTCTAACTCATAAATTTGCAGAGTACTGACTTTTCATACTTCCCATTCTGTATTTCCAATACTTGATTCGGGGGTTACATATTTTCATGCTTGATTTTCAAATGCGTGGCTGTGAAACCAGATGGCCGAAAAGATACAAGGTGTTTAGCTGCTGACCTGTTCATATTGTCGCCTGCGTATGTTTGGGCCAACACGAAGATAATATGGGGTCAGTCCTCAAAAAAGGTAAATCTTTGCGATAACACTTTCAATCAGTGAAACATCACTTCAGCTTTTAAGGATACTTACAACTTGTTAACTACAGCGTAAATCTCTACTAAAAAATGATGGCTTTATATTTCAAAAAGTACTTGTAATTATAGTTACGTAGAGCCAAGCATTATTTGGATGGTTAGGGTTACAAATTCACTCACTTTGGCGACGTCAAAAGTCTCCGAAATGTTTAAAACGCTTTGGTCGTCTGCGAGATCATTAATGCTGTTTTGAAGCGCTTCATATAATACCTTGGTTATTTTCATAAGCTCCCTAACAGCGAATCCATCTGCTTGGTACAATTTCTTGCTGTTTAGTCTAATACATGCTTTGGAAGACACGATATGAGTTACTACTTTTATAAATAATACCCGATCTTGTTCCGTATCAAGGGAAGATGGTAGGTCAGCATAGGAATCATATCTTTCGACCAGCCATCTTAAGATTTGTGTAACAAGTGGAAAATTAGGCGTCCGGAAATTTTCCATAGATATAACTTTAGGATATCCCAAAGATCTCATCATTTCGGTAAACAATCTCATTTCACGAAAAGACATTATCCTTTCAGGGTTACTATGATACAAAATACCACTATGTACAGAGCACAGTAAAACGTGCTCATGATTATGCTCAATGCTCAATATCCAATACCCAATTTTTAGGTCAAAATAAGGAGTGAGATAAGGTGAAGAAGTATTTCATGTTCTAATAAAATAAGCATTTATGTATAGGAATCCTTAAGTCATTTCAATAAGATGACAAGAGCTGGTTGAAGTTCACGCAGCACATTCGAATGCAACATTTTTTCACTAACTTATCATGCAACACATTACCATATCAAAGTTTTCACGGGTGTTTCCTCACGTAATTCACTCCCTCCATTTTAAATGCAGTGAAGTATTCCCTAGACAGTTTATGGTATGAAGCAGAAACAGTGGTGAAAGAAAGACTTGGACTAATTTGAATGTTAGAAGATTCAGAGTAGTTATCAAATAACTTCCTGATTCAGTGTTCAGTGACAAACCAAAAATGCGTAAACAGCGAACTGTAACGAATTCAGCTACAAGTCTTACAATATCGCAGATATATTACCGGGGAAATTTCCCAGTTCACAAGAGTGTATGCTCTTCTGGCATGCAGGATGCACAAATCTCAGTAAAAGTCATTATTATTTCCTTGAGTTCCGAGTGGAACATATGGCTTCAACAACACATCCTCAATTTCTTCTATATTCTATCGTCTTTTTCAGCTGGGTCCACGATTGCCAGTATCCTCTCAACTCCTCACACGACCTCCTCCATGTCACTCTAGGACGACCCACTCGTCACTCACCATTCGGATTCCACTCGACTGATAGCCTGCACTGTGCGCGATGTCATTCAACGGCCTCCTTAAAGTGTGCCGAATAGATCTTTATTTTCTCCTGCATATTTTTTGAGCAATCGGATATCGCCTGTTTGTTTGTTCCCAGCCAGAGTTTCTTGTCGCTGATTCCTTCTGGCCAGCCAGCTGGGCATTTGATCTTCAGCACAGAGCCAGACAACGAAGGTGGCAGCTTTTTACAAAAGTCTGCAGCCTGTTGGAAATCCTTTTCGTGACACGTAGTGCAAGTTTCTGACTCACATAGAAGGACCAATTTGAAATTGGTGTTGAAAATCCGAATCTTGTTCTTTGTGCTCAGACAATGCAGAAGACTTCGAAATTGGTTTCATGTTGATGGAGGGGTATCTCGCTTTTCCGATTTTGGCTGGGTATCTGGCCTTGACATCTTCATCCGTTTCTACTGCCTGTGGTAGAAACGATACTTCCTAGATAAGTGGAGGAGGTTACCTCTGTTAAATCTCTCCCGTAGATGGTGACTGGTGCTGGTTGTTGTTTTTGTTGTTGCCATGCTTTGGTTATCTTCATCCCCTCCGTCTTCTCTATGTTCACTTGGAGTCCTGTGTTCGCTGCCAGCTTCTTCATCTATCTTGTTGATTTTCACCTGCCTCTAAGTCTTCGATTTCGTGTGAAATAAAACATCTGCGGAATCCAGATCTTCTAGAGTCTTCTCCTTGGCGGTTCATCGTATTCCTGTCTCCTTGCTCCCAATTCACAGTATGATGCATAATTCAGTCAGTCCACCACAATGAAGAATATCATAGGTGATTATACGCTCGCAACCATATCTTATTCCTGTATGCACTTCGAACGCCTCACTGAGGTTTCCGTAGTGGGTCACCAGACACTTGTCACTGTCAAATAGCCAGCTGTTGAATGAAGTTGATAAAGACTTGGACACTGCAAGCCGTATTGTTGAAGCAGTTTCCAAGTAACTCCTCGATCAATGCTGTCTGGTGAAGGCCTTTTCGAAGTCGATGATGGTGAGACAGAGAGGGAGAGATTTGACTGCCATTTTATGCTTCGACGGATGGCGATGCATATAGTTGCAAATTGGTTAGCAAATGATTTGCTTTTCCTGAAACCAGCTTGTTTTGGGACGGAGATCTCTCTGCAGTGTATTTCTGGGGAGTTCCAGGTGATGTTCGACTCAAGAGCCCTTCCTTGGTGATCAGGTTCCCTTGAGCATCTTTTATCGCTCTCATCATCCGAGTTGATCTCTTTCCCGATACTGAGCTGGTTATCTGATATAGTGTTCTGAGGTTTGTTTTACCTGCAGCCTACCTGTCCTGCTTCAGTTGTCAGTGTGTCGTAGAGTTGTTGTTTGTCTTTTTTAGTAGTCTTCTTCACTTCTTTATTCAGTGCAGTGTACATTGAACTCAGCTTCTCCTTCTGTTGTCCATCTTTGCATTGAGTCATCTCTTTCACTATCCTCCTCTCCTCTCCTCTCCTCTATTAGCTTCTAGGTATCCGTTAAGAGCTATTCCTTATCTTCTTTCTTCCTAGAACAGTTGTACATTTTTCCTTGGATATGTCCTTAAGAGAGTCCCAATTTTCTTTCACATAGGTTTCCCCAGTGATACCACGTAATGTATCCGACTTTGCTCTGATATATGCAGCGAAGGCATCCCTTGTAGTCTTGTCCTTCAGTTTCTGAATATTGAAATTGAGTTGTGGTCTGTCTCCATTTGTTTTGAGGGATTTCAGCTTCCCCTTGAAGGTTCCTCGCAATAGATGATGGTCTGAGCCCACATCTGCTCCCCCTCTCGACCTTGTGTTCAGCAGACTGACTGCGTCTCCACTTCCATCTGCAGCATTGAGATGAAATCTATCTGGTTTGTGGTGTGTCCGTCAGGCGAAGTCCATGTTGCTTTGTGTATATCCGTGTGCTTGTACATGCTGCCTCCGATCACTGAATCATTGAAAGCGCAGACGTCTGAGGATAACTAATTCTGTGTCCTCATCCACTTCTCCGAGCGAGAGCCTTTCGATTCATGATGAGTTAGTTCGCTTTCTGTATTGTCTGCTCCCAGTTTGACTGGTATTCACATCGCCACTTTTAATTTGGATGTCACCATTAAGTATTTTGTGCATTTCTTTTTGTAGTTGTCTATAAAAATCTACTTTCTTCTCTTTTTCCGAGTTGTTTGTAGCACCGTCGGTAACGTTGGATAAATGTGACCTTCCTTCCTCAATGAGCTGGTGGTTGTCGTCTGGGTAACCAGACCGGAGTAGATTACTGACTCTCAAGTTGAAAATTTTGACAATCCGCATCCACTCCATCTGCTTTCTCAGATACCTAACACTTATATGCCATATCTTCGCATTTCGACGGTTACTTGGGCAGCTTTCCCAGTCTCTTACATTGTACGGACATTCCACGTCCCCATTCTTATTCTTGCTTTCATCGAGAGAAGACACATGGGCTGGCTGAGAGGCTTCCCGAAGGCTTTCACCAGTCTGCTGTGTCATTTCGCCTCTCCAATTCGAGCGAAGAATAAGATCTTCCTTTGAATTTTTTGTATTTTCAACATATTTTTGTCTGTTCAAGTTTCTCTGGCGGTTTGATAGGTTTAGTGGTGTAGGGTTGCTAGCCCAACCCTCCCTCTTTACCCGAGTCTGGGACCCTCTAGATAAGTAACAAACTAGTTAACTAGGCGAGGTAAGCATAGACCATAATTACTAGGAGTTTAGCTACAGAGACCTTCTTTGTGTCTCTGTATCCAACGTAAGTGTCACCCGATTGGTAGGCGTTATTTAATGAGAGGATTCCCTTTGGAAGCCAATTTAATCTATTGAGGGAAAGTTCCTCGCAGGTGTATCGTGGAGAATCACGAGTTATCGGAATAGTAGCCCTAAATGGCATTTTGAAGCGGATTTCGTATGTAAGTTGCTATACAAAGGACGCGGATATCCATTTGAAAGTAACATACAGATTTGAAGGCACCATATAACTTGAACTTAAGGAATCCTGTACACAGCCAATTAGTTTCCATCTCTGAGCATTTCGTCCTGTAATTAGCCCTTTCATTATTGCGCGGTGCATAGTTCATAGTTTCATCCCAAGCTCTACATCATGCAAATATGCCACCAAAAGTAAACATTTGGTATTTAGACTCTCTCATCTCACTAGAGGATTTTCCTTCAAGTAGTATAGTCCTTTAAATTTTCAAGCCTAGTTAGACATCTCCAGAAACTGAAGATATTGACGTTCACGTTAGTACGAAGTATTCTAACGCAATATCTAATACCCACAACTTCTAAAGTATTCGTTCCGCGTAGACGAAAGATAAAGCAAAACACCAGAATCGACCGTCCAAATTATGTTTCGGGACCAAATCGGAGTGCAAGATGACTGCTTAATTAGCTAGAGATCGTGCACGAACGAACGAACGTGACTCAATGGAGTACCAAATGGCGTGGATGCCTGACCGGAAGTCTTCATCTAAACAAGTTGACTTAAACAGTGAAGGTCAGTATCCAATGTTCAGTGGTGAATTTTGTGGCTAATAATTCTGGGGATTACTCACCGCTATACATCTGTGCTTCGGAAATGACATACCGCTCATACCCTTTAAATGTTCAGCACCTAGGCTAAATAGTGCCACAGTTTTTTCAAGAGCGACAAATCTAAATGGAAATTCCATTTGAATTTTGGATAATATCACAGTGAATGTCAATGAAGCATATGATTTAATACTTACCAAGGTTGATTATAGTTGTCAGGCACAACTCATATTATTGCAGCTTACCACCCACCTTGTAATTAAGTTTCGCAAAGGAAAATCTTCGGGTTTACCAACGGAAAGCTAATCTACGTTTAACACGATAGCACCGGAGTTATCTCTCATTTCTATTATGAACAATAATGGTCAGAATACATTAATCTGAATAATACCACTATATGTAGCCTAGAGGAACATGGAATATCACGTAATGTTTTACTTATAGTTCATCTAGAATCCTGATTGAATAGGGAAGCGGAAAATGCCTGCATACCAGACAGAAATTTGAGAATCACATTCAGGTAAAGTAATCAAAAATCCAACTGGAGTTACACTTTTATTACTATAGCGCTAGTAGTTAAGGGGGTAAGAAGCTATTAAGGATATAAGAATGTGTAGATCCCCTACAACACGGT